GTACAACAACATATTAAAAGTTTATCAAAGTTTCTAAAAAGGTCTAACGTTACGTTGTAGAATAAAATTATAAGTTTATTAATTGATAGTATTAAGTATGGTAAAGTTTAGCCCTAACTAAACTAAAGCAAAAAAACGTACACAAGTTACAGTGTTAATTTGTCTCTTTATTGAATATAGGCCGTATTTAATAAAGGCTTAACTAATGTTAGGACTAAGACAAATGGACTTATAGATTTTGGTGTCTGTGATTAGTGACAAAGAACTGGTTATTGATATTAGCTCTTGGATCTGTATGGATCTCTCCAGAGATGCTGCTCTATATTCTAGACCAAGGGAGTCATTACAGATCACGTAACAGAAGCATGCATTTCGCTTATCTGTCTACCAACCTCTCAGTCTTGAGAAAGAAGAATGTAGACATAGCTCTTACTATTGCCAGTGAAAGCTTTGGATCAAGGCAAATGTTTCTCCTAGTTTTTATCACATTTTCAAATCAATTCTCCATTTCAACTGTTACTTCCTCCATTCCATTGTTTCATGGTCTCGGAAAGTGCCCTTCCATAATCAGGAAAATTTTATAATACTAGTAAGACAAATGGAAAAAAGAAGCATGTTAAAATTAAAATTGCTTAATTTGGTCACTGCACCAAAATGTTACTTTTTAACTAGTCTATGGTATACCAATAGACATGTCTAAAATATTCACAAAATACAGACTTTCAACATGCTACACAAATAATAAATCCAACACAGACAGTGAAGGACAAAAACAAACAATTTAACAAATAAAAAAAAATACTTTGTGATGCAGTTCACCTACTGGATGGGATCTTAAATTTCATTGACACTTAATTAGCTGCTGTGGCTGGAGAAGGATGATTTTATGTTTGCAGAGGACAAAGACAAAAAAATCATTATATTTTATTCTTCTCTTGAATCAGACAAAGGGTCCAAGTATCCCATAATCCAAAATTACGTAAGTCACTGATTATTCCAAATAAAATATATGGAAGAGAAAACCTCCAACTTATACCAATTTGTACAAGTATTTCTGTCATCTCTTGAAATATTTATAGTGTAACAAACACAGTCAGATATTCTGGTAAGGATTGTTGGCCTTGCATATGGTTGAATGTTGTCAATATGGTATTACAATGGTCCTAGCTTGATTTAAGGCAGATGGTTGAATGTTGTTAATGTGGTATTACACTATACAAGGTTTTAACTTGAGTTAAGATGTAATGAGGCAAATAGTTGATAGCTGTTAATCTACCCAAGCTACTTTTGTTGCTGAACTAGGCAGTTGTTGTCCATTTCCCCTCTGTTTGTCACTTGTTAATCTGTATTATACCATATAACTTGTAGCTTGAATGTTTTGTTAGTGGCTTATTTTAGGAACAAAATTAATCTTCACATTCATGTTGTACTGAAGATGAATCTATCTAAGATTAGTTTAAACTTAGAAATGAATACTCATGAATATTTATAAAATGGTACAAAGTTTTATTGCAATCTGTTGCTTATCCACATTTCAAGCTTTGACATCAAATACATACACCATGTTACATAGAAAAATGGACACAAATTACTTTAGATTATGAAAACTACATCTGACATCTTACTGTACTGTACCAAATGCTACTTTCATCTCTCCATTATGAACTAATTTTAATGGGCACTTAGTCCTGTAATTATCCACAAAAGTTAGATGTGTAATGGCTGTCATGTGCTACAGACATTAATTCTACAATTCACTTTATGAATCATCTTCAATTAATAATAAATATTGCTTTGTTTAATAAATAATGAAAAAATACAACACCAAATTATGAGCTACTTAAAAAAATGAATTTCTATAGCACACTTCATTTTGAGAATAAGCTCCATAAATCTGAAAACACTCAGCCAGCAGTGAAGATGAAACCTAGAACTAGTTTTACTTGGAAGCATTACCTCATCTTCTTGATGACCAGAGCCGCAGGTCATGTCAGAGAATGTTAAATGTACCAGAGCCACAAGTCATGCCGGAGGAAGTTAGATTTACAGAGCCACAAGTCATGTTAGTGGGTGTTAAATGTACCAGGGCCAGAAGTCATGTCAGAGGAAGTTAAATGAACCAGGGCCAGAAGTCATGTCAGAGGAAGTTAAATGTACCAGGGCCACAAGTCATGTCAGAAGGGAGTTCAATATACCAGTGCCAGAAGTCATGCCAGAGAAAGTTAAATGTACCAGGGCCACAAGTCATGTCAGAAGGGAGTTCAATATACCAGTGCCAGAAGTCATGCCAGAGAAAGTTAAATGCATTAGAGCCATAAGTCTTATCAGAGGAAGTTAAATGTTGTGTTAAAATAAAAAGAACTAGTCATTTCAAGTATACACATTTATATTTTACAAATCAGAACTAAGCAAAATTGGCTTTATCATAATTGGTTTTTGATTCTAAACATGGTTTTAATTCATCTGTTTGTTTTTTCAATTTTTCTAAGTCTTCTCGCTCCTTCCTTTTGAAAAATCCTAACTGTAAAGAAAAAGAAGTAATTCAATTTAATAAGTGAAAAGAATTTTCCATGTAAATGCTCATAATTTTATTCAAAGAATGAAAGTGTCTCTATTACTAATAACACACAAAACAAATACAGACGCATAAGTAAGATAGTTTTTCATCTTCGGCTGCTTACAAGGAAGACTTCTCTGTTATAAAAACACGAGTGAAAGTAATGAAGAATATATCCAGAGCTGATGAAGCCTTTTGCCTAATATAAGGGCTCTTACAGTGTGCTGAATCATGATAGGCATGGTAGTTGTTGAGACACCATATATATATTCATGTATAATTAATTGTTTGCACAACAACTGTTTCAGTGTGAGTAATTTTTATAAATTTTATTTAAGTCATTATACATCAGAATTAGGATTTTTATTAACATCACATTTAGCTTTATACTTAACAACAAACAAAAAATGTTATAGAATTAAACAATTTCAAAGATGATGTTATATTTATAAAATGTTATCTATTTATAAGTAAGTATTTAATCTTACTGTTTGTTTTGAATTTCGCACAAAGCTACACGAGGGCTATCTGCGCTAGCCGTCCCTAATTTAGCAGTGTAAGACAAGAGGGAAGGCAGCTAGT